TTCTTACCTTTATTTCAAACCATCCAATTTTTTTGTTTTTGTATTTCTTATGGCTTTTGATTTTTATTAAATGAAGGATAGAGAAAAAAAAGTCATGTTACTTAGAAGAAAACAAACAAAAAAAGAAGGGATTATATTATAAAATCATTTCAATGGAATTTTAATTATTGCTCTTAAAGAAAATAATTGCCATATAATTAAATAACAAAAATTAAAAGGCTTCCACATAACATGAAATTAATTATCTTATTCTGCATCTCTCTCTTAGCTACTTAATTTGATCTTTAGTTATTATTAACATTTTTTTAAAATGTTTATTAGCGCCTTTAATCCTCCATTTGTTTTAATAAACAGACCTATAAAATTTTTAACTCGCAATAAAAACTTTTCTTGCTGCTACAAAACATATTGACAATAGCTATACCTTTTTTTAACTTTTAAATTGTTATTTGATCTTACCCATTGCGGAATGCGTGCTAATAGACTAGTCGGTCAGTAAAAATAATCAATTCATGATTTTTTAATTTAAGCTTGCTTTCAAGATCAAAATAAATTTTTGCTTAAAAAACAATGATTCTTGTAAAAATAGCATGTTTTAAGTCAATAAATATGAAATGCATTGATAATAAAATTAGGTTTTTAATGAAAAATATGTTTTTTTAGTTCAAATCATTATGGTTTTCGCAAATATATTTTTTTGTTACATTTTATTTAATGAACTATGTTTTTAATGAGAAAATTTTGTTGTTAAAATAAAATAAAATTACATGAATCAAGAAAGACAATTTTGACAATTTTTTTTATCTATAATTTTTCCTTTGAATGTCTATCTTTATTATCCTATAATTAAATAAAAAATACATTCCAAAAAGTTTCTTATTGTAGCGTGCGGACAACTATGCTAGTTTCATACTAAGAGACCATTTGACATTCTAACTTTTGTTTTTTGCTCAAATACATAGAAAAAATCGTTTGGTAAGTCAAATAGTTTGGTAAGTCAAATAGCTTCTTCCTTTTGCATATAACCTCCATATAATTGCGTTATAAACCTTGATTATATAAAAGGTAAAATGCTTTTCATTCATGAAGACTTGTTTTTCATTTATTTTGTATACAAAAATTCATCTTACAATAGTTTTAATCAAATATATTTTAAAAAAAAACTGTAACTAAAAATGTTTTTCTTGAACCTGTTTTTTAAGATCATCTTTAGTATCATGGTACAAAATGTTTTTCAAAAGTGTTTTTCACTTGAAAAGTTTTATAATGATTTTTTTAGATTTTTATTTTATTTTTGACAACAACACATGAAAATCATCTGAAAATACTAAAAAAATCAATTTAATGCCTTTTCAAGCCAAATAGTTTTTTAAAACACACTATATTGTAGCTTCAAACATAAAAACAAATAGTGTTTAAACTGCAACAAAAGAAAACTACCATAATACTAAATACATACTAAATAGCATAGAACCAGGTGCTTGTTTGAAAGTGTGGTAGAGATTGCGTTTTGAAGTACTTTTCACTAAAAAATACGTCAAAATAATTTTTTTAAGCTTTTAAAATTTATTTTTGATATCAACACTTCAAAAATGCAAAAAAAATATTTAATTTTAAGCAAAAAATAAAATAAAAAATTTGGCAAATGGTGTTTTGGTCACAATGCTAAACATGCCATAGATCTGTGACTTGTGCTATGTCGGGGGTTGGATCAATTTTTTTCTAAACAATAAATAAATAAATAAATCAATGTGTTGCTAACTTTTTTAAAATATTGAGATAACAATATACTGGATGACATCCATTCATTTTAAATATTGAGATGACGCCAAATCAATTTTACTCTGGTTAATCCTGGTTAGTATGCAAAATTAATAACCTGGTTTATTAGACTTTGATAACTCGATAAAGAACAAATAAAAAAAATACAAAACTTAATTTTTAAATAACCAAATGTTGGAAGATGAAATTGAAAAAAAATAATCTAAAAAAAATAAAAATAAAAACAGCTCGAGTCAACCTTGACAAGCCTTCTAAACCCTTGACATGGATCATTAAAACCGGATAACCTTTTAAAAATATATTGAAATAAATTATGAAGCATAATTACTAACCAACCCAATATTTAAGGACTAAATTGCAAAAAAAATAAAATAATCTATTTAAAAAATTAGACAACCCACAATATGAATTTGTGATAACCCCATAGAAAGAAAATTAAAAAAAATAATGAACTTTAATCCAAAATTAATCTAATGTTGAAGGATAAAATTATATATATATATATATATATATATATATATATATAAA